AGAAGTTAGGGGTAAAAAAGTGGGACAAAGACATATCCATTTTGTATAACCTCTATTCTCTGAATATAATTCTTATTTTCTCTTTATATGAATGGCTATAGAGGCTCAATTCAAACTATTTGGGGATTTTTCAACAGTCAATGACTGAAGATCACTGCACAGCAAGTTGAAAGATGAAGAGTAAATACAGGGCAGATACTCCTTCCACCAGCCCTTCCCCTCATCCTCCACGTGACCTACTGTTGTTACTTCTGCCTTCTGAAGGCCACTGCCAGAGGAAGCACAGATACCGCGCTACTAGTCCAGAATAAAAGTACCTTGAAGTAGAAATAATTTTTGAGGAAAACAGGGAATGGTCCCCCCTCCCCAAAAATCCACTATAGACTTTACAGAGAGGAATGTGCAAAAGAAAGGGGAGGACCGAAAAACAATTGTCTGTGGTTCCTAGAAATTACTAGAAAATTATTCTCACATTGTCCATTATTCAGCCTAATAGTAAGTGACATTTACCATTAACACTATTACAGGTTTTAGAAATGCAACTTGCTCCTTATTAAAAAATACATTTTGCGTCATTTAAAATTTGGCACTGATCTTAGAATGATCCACGTATGACTTCAAGAGTCCTAATTTTTCCTGAGTTCATCAACTCAAGTTGTCAGTTGGCTGGGATGTTGCTGCTTTTTAGAGACTCATCTCAAAGCATCACCTCTGGCTCAGTTTTAGGCAAACTGAGAAAAGAAGCTGCTTTTTAGAGCAGGGTGGTTTGGTAATGGATTATTCAGAAGAAAAGGTGGGAGATGGGAGGAGATGGAGAGGCAGACACACTGCTCATTTTACTTGTCAGATTCCTCTAGTGAGCATCTAGAGACAGGCCCAGGAGTGGCTTTGCAGTAACTTAGAAAGGCCACAATAGTAAAGATTCAAAAAAAAATTCATACTAGTACTTGATGCCAGTTTCCCTACAAAATTATAAAGCAATCTAAAAAAAAAAAAATACTGTTGCCTGACCAGCAGGCAACACAAACACAAGACTCATAACAATAACAAAACAATCACAATCATTTATTAACCAGCACAATCTAGCCAGCAGAGTCAACTCCAAGCTACTACAAATTGCTACCTCGAACTGAAAAGGCACGAAGTATCCAATCTAGGGATGACTGGGCGTGGACAAAAGGACACTGTCACAGAGCTGATGCTCCACATCTGACTTTCCACCAATGATACAGCAGAATGATCTGCTAGAAGGGAACGCAAACTTACACGGACACACACCAGTTAATGGTGTCTTTAATTCATTTGTCAATTACAGAGTGAAAGCAATGAATGATATTTAAATACCTACCTACTAGCCCTTAACTAATAGCTTATAGTCACTCACTCTGCAAAGATGTTTTGACCATTTTAAGGTTGACAGAAAATTATTAGTGTACCTACTTCATGATGTACCATCACTTTAAAGGAAGTCAATTAGTAAAGCACCAGTTTAAAACCCTATTTTTGCTACTCCTCTTCAATAAATGACTAAGTTACTTAAAAGTATGCAAAGATCACTGCCTTCATAGCTAGTGAAATCTTGCTGGCATGAAGAATAAACCCTAATCTTAAATGGTATTTTAGGCTGCAAAAAAATAGGTGGGGTTTGTTACAAAAAAATCTTCAGTTTGTCCTAAAAAAAATTCTAAGGCAAAATTATTTTAATAGTGTAGTGTAAAAAATAAGCTTAGTATTATTTAGCAATTAATAGTGTCCACTTAAAAGATAACATTCAATTAATTAAACTGAGGAAACCAGAGTATTCTTACTTGTAATTGGTTTGTCAGTATGACTATTCCCAGAGTATTTTCTTCTGTTCTTATTTCTAATACATATAAACACAAACACTTAATCTTAGTATTCAAACTAATGATTTTTTTTAGAAAATCCATAATCCTAGGACTTCAACTGTGCTTCTTTGGACAAATATTTATTCAAACAACAAAGAATTTAAATTCTTTTAAACTATTTTAAAACCTACTAAAAATCTTTGGCGCATTTAAGTAAAAATGGATTAGGTTAACAAATTTCTACATTTGATAAATTATTCAATTTACATAAGTGCTAACTGCTATCAGCTACAACATTAATTTAAAACAATAAATTATGCTCATAAAATAAAAAATTCTTAATGAGGCTGATCTTAGTTGCAAGATTCAAAATTTTAAGTATAGTTACAGAATTCATGGATTTTAGAGTTAATGGAGCATTTGTCCCAGATACTCCAAATCAAATGTGACAAACAGTTAACTGAAAAGAGCAGGCCTCATTTCATATTTTTTGTGCCAACTTCAAAAACTTATATATACATTCAGTTTGCCCAAATCCATGAGGTTTTCACAACTGTAAGACTTCTTATATTCTGATTTGGAGATTAGAGGCAGCAGATTTGCTTGCCCGCTGAGACTATTTCTTCATAAGAATCATACCACCTACCTCCCAGACTGTTTTTAAGATTACATGAGAAAATGCAGTGCCTGGCACCTGGAGAGCATTCATTAATGCTCTATTTCTTCGCCTGTTAGTAGCTCTGCCACTTATTAACGATGCAGGCTTAACCTCAGATTCTTCATCTCTAACATGGGAATACAGCATGCCCTTTCTACTTCAGAGCTGGCTATGAGGTTCAAATGAGATAACTGTGAAAGCATTTTATAAAACAGTAAACTACTTTTCAAGTTTAAGTTATCTACAGTAATAAGTAAATATAATTATGTTTCACCTTATATAAGAGATGTATTCAAGAAAAGTTCTACACTGTAAACCAATTCCTACAATCAAATTATATATTTAAAGCATTAGGAGATTATTATAAAAGAACCCTAAAGTCAACACCTTCAAAAAGCAAAGTATTCTTTTGAATGTGAGAATCCAACACCCTCTCTTTCTGCTACCGAACATATAATACACCACACACATACACATATATACTATTTGCCTTTGTGTAAGTCCAAACTTTTCTACGTTGTTTTATATTCAAGGCAGGGTACATTTTTAGAAATGATTTCTTTTCATCATAGTAGGTCTTTTAGTTAAAACTCTTGTAAGTCTTTATGATAAAAATCATAAAGAGATATGTTTTTAAAAGTCAGTTTGAAAGACAAAATAACAGTACCTCATATAGTCAAGTTCTATCATGTTAAGTACCCTAGACACAACATTTCCACACAAAAGTAAGAATGCTTTAAAAAGAATATTGATACATTGCTTGTATCTATCAGTCATAGAATTATAACCAAACTTCAACAAATGAGGCAAAACTCAGGTTGGCTTTACTAGTTATATGAGCTACTTTGGTTAACTGCCCCAACTCTCAATTTTTTTTTTTTTTTTTAATTTCCTCTAGTCTGGTAAATATTCCTGCAAAGTACCTTTATTTCTTAAGTGCTTCAGCAAACAAGTTTCCACATTATTAAGTGGTTAAAATTTTTCGCTAAACTTCATTATTTTATTTGTGATTTTTTTTTTTTTCACAAGGGCTGGGCCAGACTTTACAGTTTACACACAAAAAAAGTGCTTAAAGCAATTAGGAGTGTAAACAAAACTGAAATAGAAAACTCTTAAAATTGCTATTTTCCAGTAGTTTACATAATGACATGCTAATAATAAATCAACCCTGCCTAGTCTCTAATCCTTTGAGCAGCTCCACTAGGAAACATCCTAGTTTAAGTTTAAATTGACTTCAGAGTATGGAAAGTGCACATCTTTAAAGTATTTCACAATTTTGACTGACTTTTCCTCATTTAATTTTAATCAGTGAGGTTTTGCTCCAACTGCTATTTCCTTTTACCAAGTCCTCAACTTTTGTCTCATACAAAAATAAAAATTAAGGATAATCACAGACATTAGGGTTATATGTAAAGCAAACATAAAGATCTAGGTTACATGTATATTTGTACACAAGGAGTGGTTCCCTCTAATTAAAGTAAATGAACATTCAGTTCAGTTAGACAAGAATTTCGTAATTTGTTGGCACCGGTTCTAATCATTAAACAAAAATCTCTAGATTCTATTTTCCAGAGTTACAGCTGGTCAAGGTAAATGAGACCAAAAGTGGCTTGTTAACTGAATTTTAATTAGATGATGATATATGCTGATATACTGTTAATGTTTCTGAAATAAATGGCAAAATACAAACAAACTTACTTTAAAAAATATCTAGTTAAAACTGCCATATTTTGCTTTTAACACATTTTCAACTTGTATATTTTAATGCCTACATCTATATTTGCATTTCTTATTCATAATAATTGAAGCACAGGCAAAAACCAACCATTTGGATTAATTATTTCAGTTCTACATTTCATTTAACAAGCTAATCCTACATTAGTAAGCTTTCTGGTCTTGAGTCTGTCAAGACTAAAGAATAATGATAAACTGAAATTATGGCCAGATGAAAAAACAACACAGATCTGTCCCAAGACTTTCTTATAAATTCAAATTCCTAATTTCATTTTTTAAAAATCTGGAAGAATAATCATGAAACTTAAGTCAGGATAAGGAACAGTTGCAATTATCAGTACACTCTTACATTCTTTCTTAAAGGCTGCATGTTCCTTAACATTTGTTTGTAAGATGAGGAAAGGAGAAAAGAGGAATGAGACTAAAGGAGAATAAAAACTTCCACTGATGTTTAAAAACAAATACCCCCATAATGTCAACAGCTGATAGTTTTGAAAAGTTAAAGAGTTAAAAGTTAAAAATTAGCACTAAATAATTTTTTTAAAAAAAATCACAAAATGTCCATTTCAAATATTATATACCTCAAAATGGGTCCAAATATTCAAATATGTTCAGTAAACAGAGATACATATTTTTCTTGATTGGAAAAGCTTCTGAGGACTTGAGAAACTATTATAGAGAAAATGAAAAAATAGCAGCCCCACTAATTTAAAAGCCGTCAGCGCTAGGCCACCATTGTGCATAGCCACTGAAGAAGTCTGTGGAATGTTTGGATTTGCTCATGAATGGTGCTCACTATTAGACATGTTTTGGACAGCAGTGGAGTTATCAAGGCCCAGTAACGTTCCGAGGTATGACTGTTCTCTAGGATCCAGCATCTGTTCGGGTCGGACTGGGTGAACTATATTTGCAGGCTGAGGAGTAAGCGTGTATTTCTCCAGAAAAGCTAGGTCGGCGGCTCGAGGGTAATCGGTGGCCGGCGGCTGTGGTGACAAGATCTCGTGCGCGGGGGGCGGGAGGGTGGTGGTGTGGCGCACCAGGTCCCCCTGCGTGTCGGGCATCTGCACTGGGACCAGCGTCACGGGGACACACACCTCGGCAGGCACATTCTGTAGCATGGTCTTGGCTTCCGACTGGTAGACTTTGGGCTGGTCCATGTATTGTTTTGTTTCTGTTTGAAAGATTTTGTCATCAGATGAGTACTCTACCGGCAAGGATACAAGTGTTTCCTCGGAAGCACTGAGAGGGTCCTCGGGAGACTTTATGCCGTGAACGTGGTCAGTGTGGTATTTCAGCTTGTCCTTCCGTTTAAATGTTGCATTACAGTGCTGACAATTGAAAGGCCGGGCATCAGAATGAATGACCAGGTGTTTTGTTAAAGTTTTCTTAATTCTAAAAGATTGATTGCAAATTTGACACTTGTATGGTTTTTCACCTGTTTGAACACAAATGAAATTAACTGTAAAATACATTCAGTTAAGACAATAATATTAATTAAGCAGAAAATTTTCCATGTGAATACTTACAAGAACTTAATAAAAGCAATTAATATATGCTATCACAAAGTGGAGACAGTATAGTAACTGGTAAAGAGAATGAAGTCAAACATCAGAAAGACCTGGGTTTGAATTCTAGCAGTACCACTTACCAGGCAAACCTGGAGCAAACTCCCCAACTTCCAAGCACAATTTCCTCACCTGTTAACAGAACCTGCCTCATAGACTTGGTGAAAGGACTGAATGAGAAATGTACATAATAGTGCTTAGCATTATACTGGCACACGGTGAGGACCTGATAAACTTAGGCTATTGTTACTAAGGCTTGCTCTCACTATAGCCCCTAAAGAAGTTGTAAAACTAGAGCATTTGATGCCTTCCTATCAAGAAGGATAAAAACTAAAACAGCAACTCTGATTAACCTGCGTCTTTGGATTGGAACAAGAAGTAGTAATACTGGTGTCTATAGCCTGAGATTAAAATAAGGAGAGTTGATCAGGATCTAGAATAAGGAAGCCAGTTTTCGACTGTCCCTGAGTCAGATTCTCACACTGTAGTTGGAGACTTCCTACTATTCCTTCCTATTAACATTATAAATTCCTAAAGTAGCCAGGGTGGTTGGTTAATCCCCAAAAGGAATGATTTTGTTACCTTACATGGAGAGAGGGACTTTGAAGATATGATTAAGCTTAAAGACCCTGAAGTGGGGAGATTAACCAGGTAGGCCCAATCTAATCACACAGATCTTTAAAAGCGGTGATAACTGAAGATTAAGGGGTCGGACAGCTATGACCAGAGGATTCAAACCCACACTGCTGGTTCTGAAAACAGGAAGAGGAGGCCGGGACTCAGGAAATGTGCCAGCCTCTGGAAGCCAGGAAGATCTCAACTTACGACTAGTTAGAAAACTAGAACCTCAATCCTACTCCTGAAAGTCAATAAATAATCCAACTGAGTGGGAACAGGCTCTTCCCTAGCGACTCCAGAAAGAAATGGAGCCCTACTAACACCAACATTTTAGCTTGGGTCATTCTTCTCACCTTACAGAGCTGTAACATCATAAGCTTGTACTGGAAGCCACTTTCATAAGAGATACACAAGACAAAGTGAACAGTCTAATATACATATAACCAGAGCCCCCAAAAGAAAACAGAGTATACGTCAGAAGCAGAATTTCAAAGAAAAAATGGCTGACAATCTTATTAAATGAAAGGCATCAAGTCATAGACGCAGTAAGTTCTACACAACTCAAAAAATACTAATACAAAAGAGAAAAAAAAAAGCACATCTGGGTACACTATAAAAAACTATCAAAAATAAATAAAAGAAAAATCTTAAGCAGCCGATTAAAAAGAAATTCCTTTTAAACGAGCAACAATAAGACTGATAGTATAGTTTTCAACAAAAACTGGAGGTCAAAGAGGAAAAAATGACATTTAAACTATTAAAAGAAAAATAACCACCAACATAAATTCTACAGTCAGCCAAATGTTCTTCATAAAGTAAAAAGGATAAAAACATTTTCAGAAAATCAAAACCTAAAAGTATTTGGTGCCAGCAGATATGCACAAAAGGGAATTCTTCATGCAGAAAGAATATGATTCCAGGTTGAAGAATGGTAACGCAGGAAGGAGTGAAGAGTAAAAATAAATAATACAAGTTATTTAAAGCAAAATAACAAAACAATAATGTCTTATGTCATTTAAAGTATATGTAAAATTAAAACACATACAATGCATAAAGGGTGAGAGAGATGAGGTGTTGCAAGGTCTCTGAATTGTCTGAAAGGGGATGATGAACTAACTTGAGATAGAGTCTAATCATTTAAGAACACACATTGTGATCTACAGGGTGACTACGAAAAGAATACTGAAAGAATATGCAATTAACAAACTAAGGGGAAAATGGGTAATAAAAATACTTCACAATTACAAGGAAGTGAAGACAAGGGAAAAAAGCATTAAGCAACAGAGGGGACAAATAGCACAATGACAGTTTTGGTAAATAATATTTTCTTGGAATGTGGTCACAATCTTTTTATTTATACCTTGTCTGTGGCTGCTTTTATGTTACCACAGAGAGCTGAGTGCTGGTGATCTGGAATGTTGGGCCCACAACATTTATGGCCCATTATTATGGGCCCACAAACTTTAATGTTTACTATCTAGTCCTTTACCAAAAAAGTAGGTGGACCTCTGCTTCAAATGATTCCTCCATCTAATTTCGTAACTTCTGTTAAGTATTGTCTTAATCTGTAACAGAGCTCACTTCCCTAGTTTTCCATGGGCAGAGGGATTTGTCCCTAATTCTAACCAACTGTGAGATATCCAGAGATGAGAATTCCAAAATCACTGGTTATCAAGTAATTACAACCAATCAATGTTTTAAAAAAAACTTAATGCAGTTACAAAGCCAGCCCTTAATAACTTTCTCCTCTAGGTAATTCCTATAGTTTTAAAATTCTTAAATCGTCAGTGGTTTCAAATTAACTTTTAACTATCTCCTTCAAATCATGAGTTTATTAGGTATATTATTTATAACTAGCATTGAGAATAGCATTAATATAGCATCCTCATTTCTTACTCCTATTTATGTAACCCCCAAATTATGACTTTTTCATTTTCAGGGAGATGTACTTTTATGTTTAACACAGTACTGTATCAGTAACAAATTCCTTTTTCTATTTTAATTTTTAAAAAAGATTTGGCCGTGTCAAGTCTTAGCTGCAGGATGAGGGCTCCTAGTTGCAACATGCAGGACCCAGTTTGCTGGCCAGGGATCGAACCCAGGCCCCTTGCATGGGGACCACTTAACCACCAGACCCAGAGAAGTCCCAGTAATAGATTTTTTACTGTAACTCTATGCTATTAAAATTGCCCAAATTCAGTTATTTCCAATTCTCATTAAATATGAGAAATATGAAATAAATTATTTTCCCTTCCAGAACAGCAAATTGACAAATTTCAACCTAAATATAAAGCAAACAACCATAAATGTATTAATAGATTTCTTTCTTAAAAAGAAGGAAAAGAAAGATAGCACTAAGTCAGGTCTAACTCTTGCAATCCCATGAACTGTAGCCCACGAGGCTCCTCTGTCCATGGGATTCTCCAGGTAAGAATACTGGAGTGGGTTGCCATTTCCTTCTCCAGGGAATCTTCCCGACCCAGTAATTGAACCCAGGTCTCCCATATTGCAGGCATATGCTTTACCGACTATGTGGGAAGCCCAAAAAGAAGGAAAGAAAGCTTTAAAAATGATTAATTTACATGAGAAGTAAAACAAGAACTATGACAACACAGAGGAAAAAATCCAAAAATCTATGTTTCAAAATATGGTAGAATTGCCAAAGGAAAAAAGGAAAGATTTAGAAAATGATAAGTCCTAGAAAGGGCTTCCCTGATAGCTCAGTTGATAAAGAATCCACCTGCAATGCAGGAGACCCCAATTTGATTCCTGGGTTGGGAAGATCCCCTGGAGAAGGGAAAGGCTACCCACTCCAGTATTCTGGCCTGGAGAATTCCATGGACTGTATAGTTCATGGGGTCGCAAAGAGTTGGACACGACTGAGCAACTTACATTTTCACTTTCAAGTCCTAGAAAGCAGCTAAAGTGAATCATTCTACTACAACTACCTATACATCACAACTGAATATGTAAAAAGGAAAACCATACAACAGTTGATTTGATAAGCAATAGCAAGGTCATATCTGAATTATTCTTTTAAAAGATAAGGAAATAAAATAAATGTCTTCATACAGCCATGCAGATATAGAGGAACCATAAAAAACCAGGAAAGGAGAAAATGAGAACTGAAAGTTAAATAAATTCCCTGTGGAAGAAATGTTCCCCAAATTCTACAAAATAATATTCAAAAGTATTAAAGCTTACATAATATGGAACAGAATGATCAGACTAATAGCCATTCATCATACCAGTTTTAATAAGTAAAAATTTTACTGGTAGTTAAAAACCCAATTTCACCAAGAACAACAAAGTATAAACATCCATTTATTGATTCTGAATAATTACACTATAAATATATATATATACATGTATATATATATATAAAATATCCATTAGGTTTTACCTGAATGTGTCCGAAAATGCATTTCCAGACTTGATTTGCCTTTAAAAATTTTCTTACAAACATCACATTGATGAAAGGTTGCTTTATATCTAAGAAAAGAAAAAGATTTGAGTGTTTTAATAGTGAAAATAAGTTATAACTTCATACATAACTGTCTCATTATTAAAGCAGAGAACGCCAAATGAACACGGAAATACTTCTTGAGCATCAACCTTAACTCTGGTTCTTCCTCCTCTAGTTATATTCAACAAATAATCTATAAAAAGATATCTTTAGATTTTCAACTTTAAACCACTTTAAGCTTTAAGTCATCAAACTTTTATATTATTATTTTCTACTTAAAAATGAGAAGGAAAAATCATAGGGACCAAAAAAAAAAAATCAATGAGATGGGTAAGTGGGGGTTGACTACAAAAGTGCACCGTGGAAATGATCATAAGGCTCCACTCTAGACCCACTCCTAGCAGCCCATGCAGAACGTGTAAGAGACATATTCTGGTTCCATGCTTATCTAGGTCAGCATTACACTAAGTTTCCTGACACCTTAGACCATTTGCTCCAAATACCTACTCCAAGAACATGAATTCTTGTAACATCTCATACTCACACAATCCAAGTTATCAAGCCTGGATATCTAAATTGTATTAAAAAGTTGATGTTCAAAGAAAGTACATACCTCGTTCCAATAAAGTACCATTTATCAGTGTCATTAAAGGGATCTAAATTCTGACAACAGCTTCCAATAACTGCTGTCACATTAAGTACAAAATGTAGGCAGTATGTTCATTTATACTTAGCTCTCCAAGAGCTACTATAACCAAATATAAATGAAATCCCCGAAGAATGCCACAATTTTATATTAGTCATTCACTTCAATGTCTACCATCTCCTAGTGTTTGAATCAACTGAAAACAAGTATGAAAAATTATGCTACATTCAATTCCTTTACATCTGCAGACAAGCTAGATAAGCTGGAGAAAGGTCATTGATTAACCTATCCTTGATTAAATAAAATAAACTATGAGACAACTTTTCTCCAACCTAGTTTTATCCAAGGTAATGATGATGAGAAACTTTGCCTTTTCACTTACTTTTGCCACACCTTCTCTCCAAGGTGTACACTTTTATAATGGACAGTGAGATGATCCCTACGACCAAAGCATTTTCCACATTCTTCACACTGATGAGCCTTCTCACCTTAAAGACCCAAATATTAAAAAAAAAAAAAAGACCCAAATATTTTTGTTATAATATGCATGCCAATCTTTTTTATCCCCAGAAACAAATCATCCAGCAGCAAGACACCGTGGTAGAAAATAGATACCAGAAAGGTAAAGCCACCCTTTATCGGGGCTGTTTGCCTTATATTAATACTCAAATTTATCTTTCTTCAGTGACTCTATACTCATTTTTAGGAATGTGAATCCTCCTCCTCAGTTGGAGAAGGAATCAGTAGCCTTTCGCTGCAGACTTCCAAATCTTGACTTTCAGTGTAACAGGGTAAGATAATGAAAGGACTTCCAAACTCAGGATTTTCTTTTTAGGAATATATAAGTCTGATATCAAACACCTTAAATGAACATACAATAAATCAAGATGAGGCTGTCTTATTTTTTATAAAAAAGGACCTGAACATTTTCAGATCTTTATACTTTACTTTTAACAATTTTTCATCTGTGGGGATTTCTTACATTTGCAATGAGCCAAAATACAAATATAAAGGAAAATTCTAGATGAGTCCAATTTGTCACCTCTATTTTTATATTCAGTTACAAAGACTTGCTCTTTAAAAATCAGTCTCATTACCCGCGTGCCTTCAAACCATGTGACTTCTAGAATCAGAAATTTAGAATTCTCCTCCTGAAAATGGAAATGCATAATTCCAATGAAAAAGTCATCAGACCTTTAGCATCTATTAAAGGTGGTAATAACAACTTCAACCTGCCTCATTGGGATCATTTAAGAAAACGTTACATCTGCTGTACACTTTCCATTTAAATTATGTTTAAAATAATAATAATAATCACCTGTTCTACTGGGCTCAGAGAGATGGCTCTTTCTCATCATTGTGCTCATAAAGGTGGCTCTCTTAGCACTTCCTGCACATCAATCTGAGAGGAAAATATGAAAGAAATCCCCAGAGTATAAAAATAACAAATACAGAATAAAGATCTGAAATTGATCAGGACTATTAAGGTGCTCTTCCGAAGACAGGGTTTCAAAAATTCACTGGTACATAAACTTTCCAATACCCCAATTATAATAATACTCTTGAAGGATCTAAGTTTTGCTAGCTTCTTTCAAATCCAATTAAAATGGGAAATATAATCTTGACTTCTTCATTCAAAAAAGTGCCAATGGTAATTACTGCACATACCCACTTAATATGCAAAATGCAAATTTTGAGAATCTCATTAAAACAAATGTTAAAAGTCAGTTTGTGATCATAAAGGGTAACCAAATGATTAAAAATTAGAGACCAAAAAAACATGTCACAAAATGATGTCTCTTTTTAAAGATGCTTAAAAAAACTTAAAAAGATGCTTTTTAAAAAAAGTTTTTATAATCAGCATTGTTTACAAAGGGGTGACCAAATATACCAAGTTATTTAAATTACAGTCAGCACAATCATGGTGTGGTTTTTCAGGTGCTCTGGAAAAATCATTACAAAATGTGCCTCACCTGAATGTATCTTCTTGTGCTTCGTAAGGTGATCATGACGAATGAACGTTTTCCCACATTCATCACACTCGTATCTTTTATCATCATGATGTACTCGTAAGTGAAGTCTATAAAGAAAAAAAAAAATGAAGCCCATTGGCACTGGTGACAAGGAAGGAGAAAAACTTGATTAACTTTCAATAACGAGAGCTGGGCTGCTACTCAACCACGCTCACCCATCATTATTTGCTCCATTTCTGACTTCTAGGGGCCTTCCCACTTCACACCTGACTCCAGGGCTCCCACTCAGCTGTTTTTGGGCTGCACTTCAACATCTGCACAGACTCCACTACCTCTGGATGATATTCCTTCCTGATGTTGGGCTCCTAACCTGCTTCTGGGAACCTACCGGACATCTAGGGGTGTCAGCCGGTGTTGCAGGATTGAATGGGACAGAATCAGAGTCGACAAACAAGCGCACAAGCGACGGATGTGTGATGATAGCAAATCACTAAGAATCAGTCCTATTCTGGACAACTGACACCACTTACACACTGACAACTGAGAACTCAGCAAAGCCAATAGGGAATCAGCTTTCTGACAGTCACACGTCACTACTTTCCTTCACACCAACCAAATAAAGTGTGGCTCATTTTATAATCACCCAGAAACAGATTATAAAAGGTTATCATAGATAATAAGTAGGATTCATTTAACTTGAGCTATTTTTATCCCCACAATATTCCATCTGTATACATGCTAGTGAAATGAACAGCCTTTCCATTCAAGCTGTCAAAACAGGTATTGATTCTGCTATGACTAAAACAGTAAAATCAGCATTCTGTTTAAATTTAAAAACAGGAAATAATAAATAGTGTGAAAACTAAAATCATGAGAACACTGATAAGATTTAAAATTGTATACATATTTCACAATAAGTAGTCATATATTATTTATTCATTTAAGAACAACTTTTCATAAATTGCAAAAGTAGTCAGCATTCAGCTGTAAAAATAACCACTTAAGTTACAACTTATTTTCAGAAAAGTTTCTAAAATTGAGAATCCTTGAGTTTTCAATTTTGTCACATTTTTGTAACAAAAACATTCTCTGATAATTAGGACTGAAAAAATACACCAACTTTAGAACTCGAGAGTTTTCACGAATTTTGATTCAAAGAAAAGTCACATTTTTGTAACAAAAACATTCTCTGATAATTAGGACTGAAAAAATACACCAACTTTAGAACTCGAGAGTTTTCACGAATTTTGATTCAAAGAAAATTCAAAGAAATATTTAAATAAAAATGACTCAGTAAAGCATTACTCTTAGTGATAAGGAAATATATGAACATATTTCATACTACAGAATGAAGACAATATTAAAAGGCATAAAGAAAAGGCAAAAGTCTATAAAGTTTTCTGCACGGCTTTGCTTCATCACAAACATCAAAACATGTCTTAATTCATCAAAAAACTAACACAATGTTAAGAAAAGAGAGTATAAAATGGAAATAGAATTTTATCTTACTTAATATAGGGGGAAAATGGCTTGACCTACCTGTATGAGCTTCCATGACGAAAACTTTGTCCACAGATACTACAGAGATGAGGCTTTTCTCCACTATGGATTCTCAAATGTTCTTTCAAAGTAGTTCTGTATTTTAAAAAAAAAGTATACATATAAATATGAAGCTACAGATTTCTTAATGCCAACCTAATACAGAAACACAGATTTCTAGAAAGCTTACTAGAAAGTTGTTAAAGCTAACATGTCAACTGCTCCCCTTTTCCTACAACATTTCTGCTTTTTATTGGACTAGTTGCACCAGTATACAAACATGTTTATTGTGTCTCTCTTCTTAAAAAAAGCAAATAATTTAGCTTCGGCTTCCTTTGCTAATGGTTTGCTCAAAGATTTAATATATAGCTTATGTAAACTTCTAAGACATACAAATGAAAAATGCTCAATTGTCACTACTGAATTTTATGACAATTCAGTAAAACTGATGTAAATTTTAGTGGACAGAGTTTAGTAATATATAAGAAATCCAGTTTATCAGTACTATTCCTTTCCAATATGTGCTCACAACTTATTAAAGTAATGTTTTAAGCCAAAGAAAACTTCACAGACACTTGCCATTTCCAGATGGCAATGTTATACAGGGAAACCACGTAAAGGATATTAATTGTTGACAGTCCTAAAGACCGTGGATGGGTCACTGTGTAACCACTGTGGCATCTCCTACAGCTCTAATATTTGGAGATTCCCCACACACATAAACTAAAGGCTGAGGACGGGCAGACAAAATTATTTTGAGGGGAAAGAAAGGAAAGCACAGTATGTCTGACTATGGCGGGCCTCTGCCTGTCACTACCACTGGTTTTATTTCAGCCCCACGTCCTGTGGGCATGAAGGTGAGTGTGAACTGGAGGCAGAGCTCCAGCAGTAGGGGGTCTCCCCCACCAAGCCCACCACCACCAGGAAAACCATTCCAAGACCCTAACAGGTAAAAAGATGGAAAGGCTGTTTTCCTTCTCAGTTTGTTTGATTTTAATTTCTACAGAAAGACCTTTAAGGGAAAAAATAATTTATAATGTATAAGATATACTTTATATTTTACTAACCTTGTAAATACAAGTTTCCATATAAATATAGCATACTGAGTTTCCTGCCGTTGTACCCATTTGTTCTTTGAGGAAAGTGTCACTTCAATGGTTTTAAAATAATGAACTACATACTGAAGAGTAGTAACAGGCACACGTTTTAAGAAGAGCGCGATATGCAGGATGAGGCAGAGAACACTCCCGTCACTACAACACCTTCACGCGTTCTCCTTGGTCTCCTCTCCCGCACGTCCCCCCCGAAAACACCGTGTGAGGCAGTCTTCCTGTCTTTGTTTCACTGCCCGTGGAGCACACATCACTGAGCAGCACATCATGCTGCGCCGGGTCTGGGGCCCACTGCTCTGTGTCCGACTGTGCGACTCCACGGGGCTCCCTGCCACTGCGGGAGGGTGGCTGCCCAGCAGCAGGCCTGGTCGGGGACAGAGGAGAACCCACGGCTCTGACTTCACTTGCAGAGCAGTTCTGACTCTGCTGCTCCTTACTCTGCCTGCCCTTCACCCTGGTTCCAGAGGCCTCTGGGCCTGCCGGCTCCCGCACCTTCTGTGGACTCTGCAAGGAGACAAGGCTCTCCATTTCTCCATAACCGCTCTGGGATCTGTCTTCCTCAGACCTGCGAGGTCAGTTCCCACCAATACTGCTTTTGAGCTCTCAAACCTGGGCTGCTCTTGTTGCTGTCCTGTCTCGCTGTCTCTGTAGCTTATGTCTTCAAAACGAATGAATGAATGAACAAACAACCTTTAATGTATATTTAGTGGGGTTTCAGAAAGAGACAAAATGATCTCTCTGTTAAATTCACCATCTAAATTTGAAAATCCTGACTTCATATCACCTTCAGTAACATTTTATGTAATTTCTTTTATCTTTAAGTTTCAAATTAAAGCATAATGCAAGTATCTTATGTTTTACCTTAAACCTTGTAAAATATACTCATTGATCATTTCTACATAACAGTACTAGAATTTTCCTGGGTATTTAGATAATTCCTCACCTTTCTCGTACTGATTTTCCACAGATAAAGCAAGTCCATTTTCTCTTTCCACCATGGGTACACTCTATATGGCGTTTCAAATTTCCAGTGTCATTAAACTGGCGACCACATATATCACATGGGAAAGGACCTACAAAGGAAGAAATAGTGTGCATCTAAAGTTTAAGAACAGATACTAAATTAAATTTAATACCTGTGTTATAAATTCATACCTCCCACTACTAGTGCACATATAACACAACCAATTATCCATTTATAGTTTTCTCTTTCCTTCTAGACTATTTAGTCCCAGCAGACAGGGTACATCTCTAGATCTCCAGAGCTGAGTATAGCACCAGGCATTTGGAAGAATAAATGCTGAATAAACCAATGGGTTCATAAACTGAAATGGCCAACTCCTAGCTTGAAATGAGACTAGGACAAAGTAAAAAATGCTAACTACCAAATTTCGGGGGGAAAAGAGGTAATAAGAAATTTCAAAGACTAAACAGAGGGCTTAAAAGAGCTCATGGTTTGGAAATATACTGTTGCTCCTTATAACCAAAAAAATGCAATGATACTGTCTAGACTGAAAATAATGTGGTACATTTCTGTTTAGTCTTACAAAATTAAGAACAAATTTCTTACAGTAATATTAACTGGATTCAAAATGTCACCATGATTTTACCAAATAAATGACTGGAGAGAAGACAGAATTCTGCTGAAGGACAAACCAAAAGGTAGACAAAGGATGTGTGAAAAAGTATGGTGTGCTTACTGTGCCCTGCCCACTGAACCCCACCATGAAGAATCTGCCATTTCAACCAACTCCAGACAGAAAATATTTGAAAACAAATCCATAAAGTTCCAAAGAGAAAAACTTGAATTTGCCAGGCCCTGGCAACCATTTACATAGCATCTACATTGTATTTTGTTGTTGACACACTAAGTCATGTCTGACTCTTTTATGACCCCAAGAATTGTAGACTGCCAGGCTCCTCTGTCCATGGGATTTCCCCAGGCAAGAATACCAGCATGGGTTGCCATTTCCTCCTCCAAGGTATCTTCCTCACCCAGGGATGGAACCTGGGTATCCTGCCTGGCAGGTAGATTCTTTACCACTGAGCTACCAGGGAAACCCACATTGTATTTACAACTATTTAAATAGCATTTACATTGTATTAGGTATTGTAAGTAATCAAAAGATGATTTAAAGCATGCAGGGGGATTTGCACGTTATATGCAAACATTACCCCACTTTATATGAGGGACTTGGGCATCCTCAGATTTGGGTGTCTGGGGAGGTCTTGGAACCAACCCCCACGGATACTGAGGGGCAACTGTATTCCTCATTGTGCACAGACAGCCTTGAAAATATCTTAAGACAGCTGTTCTGTCTCCCTTTCCCAAATAAAATATTTCAAGGTCCTTCAAAAGTTTTTCAGATGACATGATCTTAAGGCCCTATGTTGCCATAATTACCCACCTCTGGAATATATGTCAATATCCATCCTGAATGTGGTATCCATAAATGAATGCAATGTTCCAGATCAATTTAAAATCAGTAAGATGATGACCTTCCTAATTCTGAACAATACATTTTCATTAATGTAGTTTAAAACTACAGTTGCTTTTGTCAGTCATATGACATTACTGGTTCAGACAGTATCTAAAAAGCCGCTGCTATTAATAAGCCCATCTGAAAACTGAGGCATCTGGATTCTGTACCATTTTACAGCTCTGCAACTCCCAATGACTGGGAGTCAGATCATTCCTGTATGGACAACTTTGTATTTATTCATAATTAATTTTAACTTAATTTGTTTTAACTTTTTTTGACAGCATATTTTTTTTTACATTTTTATTTTCTGCTACCACTCCCCCTGCGAGCTTTATGTCATGCTGCATATTGATGAAACCTGAGTATATTATCTTTTATCCAAGTTGTCAATAAAAACAGTGAATAGGACAGGGAAAAGGCTACTTGAATGATGATAATCCATTACTGGGATTAAACTGTCATAAATGTACCTATCTGGAACACAAGTCTCCGCTGTGGCCACAAGCAGGAGGGAGAGAACTCAGCAAATACAGCACTGCATTCCAAGTATACTAAGTTTACTGCACTCTCTGAAAAATGAGGGTTTTCTAAAACAAACAAAAATGCATACCCCAGGCACTCACAAACCTATCTGACAATCAACTGTGAATAAATGCAGTTCTGACCACGAACACACCTGCCACCAAAAAACAAAACAAACCCAGTGTTTACTCATCTCCAAGAACCCCACCCCACTCCACGAGCTCCCCTCCTAAGTGGCCCCCAGCAGCAGTCTCCCCTGCACGACGCGCTCACCAACAGTGGCTGTGAGGCTCCTAGAAAAGTAACCTGCTTACCCAGATGGAACTTTTCTTGATGTTTTAACCGTGCAAATCGTGATTTGAAATGTTCTTCACAATATGTGCACTTAAAAGGTTTGTCTTGAGAATGGAGTATCATATGTTCCTCCAAGTGTGGTCTTCGAGTAAAAGATTTCTTACAAATCTAAAGGAAAATGCACATAAAATGTGAGGGAATGTGACTCTAAAATAAAAATATAAAGCTTTGATGAGAAAAAAACATATAAATTCAAGTAGTTAGAAATTTCTCCCAAAAGAAACTTACCAAAAGTATAATCAACTGATTGTACAGGAAAAAAAAAGAATGCCTTGAGGAATTATGTGTGCTGTGCTTAGTCGCTCAGTCCTGTCACGATGCTTTGCAACCCCAGGGACTGCAACCTGCCAGGCTCCTCTGTCCATGAGGATTCTCCAGGCAAGAATACTAGAGTGGGTTGCCGTACCCTCCTCCAGGGGATCTTCCCAGCCCAGGGTTTGAATGGACCCAGGTCTCCACACTGTAGGCCGATTCTTTACCGACTGGGCCACCAGGGCGGCCCCAAAGGAATCACAGTAAGAAGTTATTTTAAATGAGCACTAAAGGCAGGTGGATTTCAACATCTTATGTTTCTAATAGGCTAATTCCTCAGATCATACAGTAATCTGAATCCTGGTCAACATTTCTAAATTCATTACCTGTATATTTGAGAATTAATTATATGTCATACTAGCCATTTATTTGATTAGGAATTGGAATTTAAAAACCTCAGAAAAATTACTTAAAAGTTTATCTCTTAAAGTGGTCAGAAAGAATAGACACAACTTTTTAAAAAATCTGGTACACATCAAATTTAGAAAGCGGGGTGGGGGGACAGGCTGCTGTAGTAACAACACATGTACTATACACCAGGTGTAACAACATGGCATGTACTAAACAGCAAGTGGAACAGAGCATGTACTATATACCAGGCACAAAGCTAAGTGGTTCTCACAACAAACCTAGGAGGTAGATACAATTATTATCATTTTACACATGAGAATGATAAAACTCAGTAAGGTAAGAAAACCATCTTATAATAAGATCCAAATAATTAACTTTAATTCCTAGAAGCTGAGATCAGAGAAATGGTGAGAATGCTGTCATACACATAAACTGAAGCCTCGGACTAAAGAAGACAAAATGACGGCTGGTGACTCATTTAAACAGTATTTACCTATTTAATGAAAAACTACTTTAGAGGGTATGGAAGAATAAAAAACACCTACAAATTCATTGCTTCTCCTATCACTGTAAAATGGAGACTGACTCCACTCTCCTTAAATTTTCCCTGGCTGGAGTGGCTTGTGTGACCAACAGAACATGCTAGAAGTGGTGCTCTGAGACTTCCAAAGTGAGGCCATAAAAAGCCTGATACTGTTCACCTCAGCTTCCTAGAACACCCTTTCCCTCCTGGAGCCCAGCTGCCACGCTGGAAGGAAGCTCAAGCAGCCCCAGGAAGCGGCCCCAGCCGGCAGCCGGGCAAAGCTCCCAGCTACAGACCAACACCAGCTTCGGGCCTGACGAATGAGGCACTTTGGGAGCAGCTCCAGACCAGATCAGATCAGACCAGACCAGACCAGACCAGACAGACCACCTATCAGCTGAAAATGACTGTGTGACTTCAGCTGGAACCACGTGGAACAGAAGAATCACCTAGCAAAATCCTGCCCCACTGCTATTACTGAGCCACAAAATGATGAGATGAAAATGAAACAGTAATTTAAGGCCACTAAGTTTTCAGGTGGTTTGACATATAGCAACTGATAATCAGAAGTGGAGAGAAAATTCTAACATTTTATATTGTATGCAACAGTAATGTCACAGTTCATATAGACAACTATAGAAACATGTTATAGTGGTTACAATAAAAATAAAATCTAGGATTTCTATTTTCCAGGTCCATCATCCAAAAAGTAACTCATACCAGGCTTAATTTGTAAAAATATTAGGATAACACTGTATAAGAGATTCTAAAAGTGATATAAGCTAAGTTTATATTACTTTAAAATTGAATTACTTTCACAAAAGTTCACACTACATTTAATTTGGGATTTTCTACTACAAATTAAAATCTCTTACATCACATTTCCAACTTTCACTCTTAGTCTTCTTAATGGAAATAAATTCCTGTGCATTTTCAGGATGAAATCTACAAGAAAAAAATTAAAAGACTGTTAGGAAAAGATGATATTAGTTAAGTCAGTACTCTATTTGACATGTTAACAGTGATTATAAGAATCAAGCAGTGATTCCTTTATTAGTCAGGCACATTTGAGTATTTTAAGAATCGCTATCATTTTAATATATGAATGTATGTGCCTAAGTTTATGCAGAAATAGTCAAAGTAAAATGTAATCATTTTAAATGTATTCAGGAACCTATCTATTCACAGAGAATCTTCAAGGCAACTCATTTGACTTTAGTCCATAGTTCAGTAAAGTTAATTTCTCAGTTAAATATAAATATTCTCTCACAAGTTTTTATATACTAAAGACAAAGCTGAGCATGAGGAATAAGTTTTCTGGAGTTGTATAATCATATATGTTGAAAATATACTTGTCAAAACTCAAGACACAAAACTAAGAATAATAAAAATGCTGTTTCTTTAACTTCTAGAGTATAGATTGTTATTTTTGTTTCAACCTCAAAAAACTTAATCTCACAAGTATGAACTAATATTTGCTGTTCTTTTCTTAAAAAATTTGTCATCTACAAAATTTTAAGCAATGAAAGGACTGGAGACAAGCACTCCATAGATGTGCTTAGCTCACGACATATTTAAATTAGAAGGCACATTAAAGTCTACTATGGAAGCAAGATCATACTTGCCTCTTAACATGCTTGGCTAAAGTCTTCTTGCTTGCATGAAGTTTATTACAATAAGGGCACTTGTGCTCCTTCTTATGAAATTCTGTTTCATTACTGTGCTTCTTTCTGTGAACAGTTAGGTTAGACTTTGTCGAATAGCGCTGGTGACAAATATCACACTCAAAGGGCTTCTCACCTGTGTGAACACGTGTGTGGCTCTCATATTTCCCTATGAAGAGACAGAAATTAAAATTAAATTCAGTACATTTATTACACAGTGACTGAAATTAGACAGTGGAATAAAATCTCATGATAAACAGTACTTTTAATAGACACAAATTGAAAGGAACTTACAGGTTAGCAGACCTTTTAAAAGTATCACAAAAGGCAACATAATATGTTATATAGCTCATATATTTTCATCTCTCTTCCCACAGAAGGTAATCTGGAAAGTGTACTACAAATCTGGCATTACTCAACAAAATTTATCCTTTGCTACAGCCCATTCATACAAGACTTCTCCAACTTGTTAGGTATTAGGACACAAAAACATCACCTGGACTTGACTGCATGCTTAAAACGAAGTCACTGAGGCCAACAGAGTTAGGGAATAAAAAGAAGCAAGGAAATGACAAAATGCATGGGTATAATGCAGACACCTGGAGGCATATTAATGTGAGATCTGTATTATATTCTGAATATAATGTCCTAAATTATAGGACCTAATAACCTAAATGTCCATTAACAGATGAATGGATTAAAAAGATGTATGTATGTACACATGTACACACACACACACACACACACATAATGAACTATTACCCACCCATAAAAAAATGATGAAATACTGCCATTTGTATCAACATGGATGGACCCTAAGATTATCATACTAAGTAAGTCAAAGAAAATCAAATATGACAGGTGAATCTAAAAATAATACAAATAAAGTTATTTACAAACAGAAACAGACTCACATACCTAACAAACCTATCATGGAAAAGAATTTATATACATATAAAACTGAGTAACTTTGTTGTACACCTAAAACTAACACAATATTGTAAATCAAATATAGTTTAATAAAAAAAATTGAAAAAAAGAAATTTAACACAGCTTGTCCAAAGAGAAAAGTAACAATTAAAAAATGAAATAAAGGATACATTTTGGCTTAATTTTTATTTATATTCCTACTTATGGTAGTGGTGGTATGTTTACTTGCTAAGCTGTGTCTGACTTTTTGTGACCCCATGGACTGCAGCTGGCCAGGCTCCTCTGTCCATGGCATTCTCCAGGCAAAAATACTGGACTGGGTTGCCATTTTCTTCTCCAGGGAAACTTCTGGATCCAGGGATTGAACCCACATCTCTTGTTTCTCGTGCACTGGCAGGCAGATTCTTTACCACTGAGCCATCTTATACTAAAAGCCTTTTGCATCATTATTTAGAGTATACAATTCCACATTATAGAGGCAGACCAATATCAATGATAGGGGCAGAGACCCTGGATCCAGGCACCTGGACATGAATTACGACACTTTAAATTGCAGGCTATCTGACCTTGGACAAGTAACTTTTCTCAAATCTTTCTTATCTGAAAAAGATAATACTGGAATAATGAAAATACGCACAAATAAAAATGGAATAATAGTATTTACTTCCGAGTATTATCATAATAATAAGTCAATTAATACACATAAGACACTACTGTTTTCTAACCCATTATAAGGTATCAATTAACACTGGCTATTATTATTACGCTGTAATCAAAGTTGTGAATATGCACATCTAGTAGCATAAAATAGAAATTTTAAGTAAGGATACTTCTGAGTGAAAGGCAACAGAAAGAAAAAAAAAACACTATCAATATGAAGAGTAATTTTCTATGATAAGCTTAGCTTTGCTTTGTCCTGAAAAAATATATATACAAAAATTTTTCTTCAGGAGAAAGCTAATAGGAACGTATAACATTTCCCTCATACACTTTAAAAAAATGTCAAGTCCTATATGTATTATGGGGATTAGATAAATCACAAAATATTCTAAGGCCACTGAGGAGAAAAGATAATTGTAATTATCTGTCTACGTTCACCAACTTACCACATGTATCTAAACATGACTCTTGGAGCACAACCGCTTTACACGGCTGGGCTAGTCTCTGCTGTACAACAGTGTGAACCAGCTGCATGCAGACAGCTGTCCCCTCCCTCCTGGCCTCTCTCCCACCCACCCCACCCCTCCAGGGCATCACAGAGCACCATGCTGAGCTGCCTGCACGATGCAGCAGGTTTCCCCTGGCCATCTGTTTCACACATGCTAGTGTATACATGTCAATCTTACCTCCCAGTTCACCCTCCCCTTCCCACCCACCCTGGGGTCCACAAGTCTGTTCTCTACATCTGCCTCTCTTCCTGCCCTGAAAATAGGTTCATCTGTACCATTTTCCTAGATCCCACACATGTGCGTTAATATACGTTATTTTTTCTGACTTACTTCACTCTGTATGACAGACTCTAGGTCCATCCACATCACTCCAAATGACTCAATTTCACTCCTGTTTATGGCTGAGTAATATTCCACTGTACATATATACCACATCTTCCTTATCTATTCATCTGTTGATGGACATTTAGACATACCGTGTTCTTGGATTAGAAGAATCAATATTGTAAAAATGACTATACTACCCAAAGCAATCTATAGATTCAACACAATCCCTATCAAACTATCAATGGCATTTTTCACAGAACTAGATCAAAAAATTTTACTTAGTATAGAAACACAAAAGACCTCAAATAGCCAAAGTGATCTTGAGAAAGAAAACCAGAGCTGGGGCAATCAGGCGCCCTGACTTCAGACTACATTACAAAGCTACAGTAATCAAAACAGTATGATACTAGCACAAAAACAGAAATATAGATGAGTGGAACATGATTGGAAGTCTAGCAACAAAGCCAAGCACCTATGGTCCCCTAATCTTTGACAAAGTTGGCAAGAATATACAATGTAGAAAAGGCAGCCTCTTCAGTAAGTGGTGCTGGGAAAACTGGACATGTAACAGAGAGAAATTAGAACACTTCTTAACAGCATACACAAAAATAAACTCAAAATGGATTAAAGACCTAATGCAAGGCCAGACACTGTAAAATTCTTTGAGGAAAACAGAGGCAGAACAACACTCTTTGACATAAATCACAGCAAGATCCTTTTTGACCCATCTCCTAGAGTAATGAGAATAAAAGCAAAACTAAACACATGGGACTTAATTAAACTTAAATATGATTAAATTTAATAAACACAAAATGTATTATCTAAAAATTAATTGCACTGCACTTACATAACAATACTGAAGAAAGGGAACCAAGGTATTTCCCTTAATTGAGGAGGGAAGGATAACATTATAAGCAAAGAAAAACCAAAATATGATAAAAATCCACAAGGTATTTAAGCACAGACCGTATGACCATCTATGCATCTTTTGCTTCTCTGGTGGTTCAGACAGTAAAGAATCTGCTTACAACACATGAGACTATGGTTCCATCCCTGGGTCAGGAAGATGTCCTGGAGAAGAGAATGGCTACCCATTCCAATATTCTTGCCTGGAGAATTCCATGAACAGAGGAGCCTTTGTGACCATGGGGTCACAAAGAATTAGATCCAACTGACCAACTGAACATACACATACATATTAATATGCATATAGCATAATTATGTATTTCTAACCTTGAACTATCCAAAAAAAAAGTTGGAAAAGCATGTATTTTTATTATTTTTTGCAGGATATTACCAGAATAATACTGCTATAACATAATTTCTTGGGGGAAGTGTTTTCTGAGTTGATTTTAATCTTTCTCTATTATAATATGGCATGCTTGAATTATACTCAAATTAAATTAATTAAAAAAATATAGCATGCTTGTACTGGATTCCAAAATACTTTTTACACATTTATGGGATATCAGAAAAGGTACAGAATCCAAACATCATCAATATGTACTCAGTTAAGTTCAGTTCAGTTGCTCAGTCGTGTCCAACTCTGCGATCCCATGAATCACAGCATGCCAGGCCTCCCTGTCCATCACGAACTCCCAGAGTTTACTCAAACTCATGACCATCGAGTCAGCGATGCCATCCAGCCATCTCATCCTCTGTCGTCCCCTGCCCCCAAGCCCTCCCAGCATCAGGGTCTTTTCCAATGAGTCAACTCTTCGCATGAGGTGGCCAAAGTATTGGAGTTTCAGCTTCAGCATCAGTCCTTCCAATGAACACCCAGGACTGATATCCTTTAGGATAGACTGGTTGGATCTCCTTGCAGTGCAAGGGACTCTCAAGAGTCAATATGTACTAATAACCCACAATTTTAATTTGGCAAAGATAGGGGTCATTTTATGGAATTAAAACAAAAAAGTTTTCTGTGATTGTAAAAGTTTTCACGTTTCACATTTTTCATAAGCTTGCTTTTTAAATTATGTAAATAATGAATCAAGAGTATACAGTATGATTTTTAAATGACTAAGTTACAAGTGATTTTTGGAATGGGGCTATTCTTGCCGGGGGATTGATTGACTGCATACTTAGCACAGTCTCAGAACTGAAAGCTAACTTAACCTCCTACTACTCAAGTCTCCTGATTTTTACCCAAGTGACTGGGAAGAGCAACTTAATACAAATCTTAAATTATAAGAAAAATCTTCCCCAAACCTTTTATTTTCTATGAAAATACCTGTGTTGGGAAGATGTTAAATTAACAATTAGTAGAATTTCCCCTTTATTTAGAGTCAAGAAAGTCTTGCTTGCAAATTAAGTTATATGTAGTTGAATAATAAAGCCATAAGTGGCAGTTAAAGATCAAAACTACTTCTGATTGTTAAACTTCCATTTGCCTACAGACTAGAAGACTTAACAGGATTTAACCCCCCAAAAAGAAAACTGTTTTAAAATAAATTCAATAAAGTCCAAAGACACCTATGAAAATACATAAATTTGAATAATTCACTGTAACAATCAGTGTCTGTAAAATAAAAAACACATTTCTGTTATGTCAACTCAAATTTATGCACAGAGGCACTGCAGGATATGTTATCTGCATGGCTTTGAATTTCTAAACAATAAGATACACAGCTGCTGAGGGAACACTAAACCACCAAGTCAGGTAAATATACAAAGAAATCCCAGGTTTAAATCAACTGGTAGGGTTGTTGAGGGTGGGGGTTCTCCTCACATAAACACAGACAACAAATCTCTTTTCTTATCGGGTGGGGGGGAATTCGATAATAATGTATAAATCAAGTGTTTACTTCAAGATTATCAAATAAAGTTTCCATCAAAAAAACCCTTGGTGTTCCTTCACAGAATATTAAATTATGCCCAACCATTCTTGATCACCAATAGAAAATACATAATATTAAGAAATTTCACCCACAGCATTTTTCTGATTGAATCCCAATATGAATTATGTCCCAAATTAGGAGACACAGAATACACATATTTACACGTAACAAAACTTGACCTTGGGTTTCATTCCAAATGGGTCATGCAAAATTATTATCAGATTTCATGTGGAGCTTTTTCAAAGAGAAACATCACCAAATTAGCTCACTATATATCTCATACACCAAATCTTAAATTATACCTGAAATTTATTCATTTGGCATGGCGTGAAAAACACTTCACTACAATATTTAACTTTAAAGTAGAGAATTATGCCATAAGTCAAAACTCTTCCCTATTCAGAACCAACCAGAATCTGTCAGGATAGTCTAAACAAGTCACATTTTTTTTTTAAAGCTACAAAATATTTTCTGCTTCTAGAAGAGATCAAATTTAATCTAAGGAAATATTTTAGTTCCCAGTAGGAAGGACAGAAAAGACAAATCATCCAAATTTTTTTTCTCTCACTCCCATCTGTCATCTTTTCCCTATATGATTTTTGCCTTCTCACCCCGAGGTTTTCCGTTTAAGGGGGAAAGGTCAAAGGACTGTTATCGGCATGTGAATGAGCAGACAGGAGGACAGCTGGAGCCTCAGGAAAAACACAACTGGATCAGGAGTCTGACTCTGAGCATCTATGAAACACATCAAAAAAGATAAAAGATCCAAAGTGAGAGAATCAAATTAGTAAACTACATATGGTTCCAGAGCTTATTAGTTACCTCTCATAAACCCACTCTGAAACAGCAAGTTAAAGGCTTCTTCTTACAAGTCAGATGTCAATCTTTCACCTTAGTTCAATTAAACAGGAGCTTGCTGAAAACTTACTATTTCATATGAAATGATCTGGGGTATCATGAAGGATACTAACCAAAAGTAACAGACAACACCTTCCAGCTCACAATCTGATGAGGCAGGGAAATAACAATCAAAATCCTAGGTGGACATTTTAAAAACCTCCTAAAGAAATGTGGGTGATACGAGGGTTATTGGAAAGTAGCCCTGGAAGTGTTTCAAGAATAAAGAGGACTTCTGATAGAGATGATACAGGAGGACACTGAAGAATCACAGGTCTCCTCCATCTGCCTGTTTTTTTATTCTACCCATCACCAGTCCACTGAAGCCTGCAGCTCTGATCCAGCCTGTCCTGCATCCCGTTCCCAATGCCGCTCATCTTCCTAGTTCAAGCCTGCAATAACCCTCTGCTCTTTCCAACTTCCTTCTCTTCCCTGAAGCCAGCCGACCTTTCTAAAACTCCTGTGGCGGTCATTTCCTGTTTTCTCAACTTTTTGTCACTTACTGGATAAAAACTCCTCTGCACTGCATACAAACCATTCAACACATGACCTCTGCTCACTTGCCAATCCTCATCTCTCATTACGCCTACTTGCCCACCCTGACGGAGAAGGCAATGGCACCCCACTCCAGTACCCTTGCCTGGAAAATCCCATGGACGGAGGAGCCTGGGAGGCTGCAGTCCACGGGGTCACTAAGAGTCGGACACGACTGAGCGACTTCACTTTCACTTTTCACTTTCATGCATTGGAGAAGGAAACGGCTCAAATGCTACCTGCTCCATGAAATCTTTCCCGATTCCTCTAAGCCTCTGTCCCTGTCCTGATAAGATTATCTTTATTATAATTGTTTTTGCATGTATTCATTAATCTGTAAGATTCTTGACAACAAAGAACATATCACTTCATAGTTGTTTAATGTCTGGCATAGTACAGACACTCAGAAACTATATTAATGATGAATAAGAGCCGCTAGCATTCACTGCACACCTAAATTTCACACAGTATTGTAATTTCATACTATATTCACACAAATTTCACAGATTATCCTATTTAATCCTCACAGTAACCCCCATGAGAAGGTACTATTAGCTATCATCCATTCTATCTGTGAGGAGACAAAAGTACACACAGGTGAAGTAACTCACATAAGACCTGGAATCAAAAATGCAGGCAGTCTGACATCATCACAGCTTACATTAATGCTTCGTAACCGGTGTGATAAAATCATAATTTCAATCTCTTCTCTCTTTCTCTGAACAGGGGAGAAGTCATCAGCCCCAATGAGATTAAGCAAAAGAGGGGTTCAATAAGAGGGGGATAATAAAAAACACATTCAGAAAGGAGGCTGGAAATAAGCTGACAATGTGATCTATTGATTCCCACATTTATCTGATTATCTGAACTAACCTTTATTCAAAAAGCTGAAAAATGCCTTCTTAGTACATCAAGACCTTAACTTAGGCAGTATTTTCCCAAATAGTGTGCACAGAACTCTAGTTTCTCGGGGGTTTCCAAATGTCCCGTGATAAAGTTATCTGAGAAAATGACAGGTTAAGTAAAATTAACAGGTTTCTTTGCTAGAGAATTTGAGTGTTAACAGAGATTGAGTATTGTCTTCCTTTTGTTACCTGAACACAGAACCCCTTGCTCACAATGCATCCCACAGACCCAGTGTTGGATACAAGAGCCTGATATCTATCTGCTGGGCCCACAATGCCACTGGCAGACTGACCCTGCTCTCACACATCTCAAATCAAATTAGGCCAAATTAAGGAAATGGCAACCTATTCCAGTATCCTTGCCAGGAACAGAGGAGCCTGGCGGGCTATAGTTCATGGAGTGGCAAGGAGCCGGACACGACTGAGCAACTGGGCACGACTGAGAACAAGGTATGATACAGGAAGCATGTGATAAGAATACAAAGTCTAAAAAAGCAGAATCAACTGGAAAGATGAAATGTTGTCAGCTACCTCAATTTAAGAATGTTCTTCTGTTCCCTGTAATGCTCACAATACATGTTCACAGCTCTACAAGAACATTTACCAGCCTTAGTTTAACAAGCTACTTGTATCCACACACTCTTCCAACTGACTAGTTGCTCAAAAAAAGTTACTCTATTCATTTGTACAGAAGTTTAAACACAGTAAAAATAGCAATGAATAATTATTCAGTTGGATTGTCAAGAGCATTTTAATTTAGAGAAAAATATTCAAAGGCATAAAAAAGAAAAAAAAAGGTACCTACTGCTATGTCATAGTTTACACTGTTGAGTTTTGAGAGCAAATGATTACCAATACCTTATTTAACCAATTTCCTCCTAAGTCAATAACATAAATGAGTGAAGTGAGGTTGTTCAGTCATATCTGACTCTGTGACCCCATGGACTGAAGCCTGCCAGACTCCTCTGTCCATGGGATTTTCCAGGCAAGAATGCTGGAGTGGGTTGCCTTTCCTTCTCCAGCAGATCTTCTTGACCCAAGTATTGAACCTGGGTCTCCAGCACTGCAGGCAGGCTCTTTACCATCTGACCCACTAGGAACACATGGGGATATGTTAAATGTATAAGTAATTTTACAAGGTCAAATAATACTTACCTGTTTCTTTTATCATTCTATGTGGTAAAATATATTCCCCAATTTCATAACTATCATTTATATGTAAATAGGTGAACTGCTGCAGTTTTAAAGTTCACATTATAAAGTCCATATAAGACACCTCCAAAAATTATTTTACTAGCAAGTAAGCTCTCTTGAAATTAAATATTCAATGACTGCCTGCAATGCAGGAGACCCAGGTTCGACCCCTGGGTTAGGAAGATCCCCAGAGAAGGGAATGGGAACCCACTCCAGTCTTCCTCCTTGGAGAATTCCATGGACAGAGGAGCCTAGTGGGCTACACTCCATGTGGTCACAAAGAGTTAGACACAACTGAGCAACTAACACTTTCACTTTCATATGCTTTTCACTTTCATATCACTTTTCATATGCTTTTCATACATATGCTTTTCTAATAAAGAAAAAATTGATTTATTATTATAATAATCCAAGATTACTATTAGGATACTTCCTAAAGTCTCTGCCTACAGAATGAAGGCATTTCTTACATTTAGTAATTTAGTTTTATCCTTAACTATTCTTAATCTGAAACATCCCAGTTCTAAACAGTACTGGATACTGGAAAAGTGACTATATTTATAACTCACATATTACCACGCTCAAGGGGAAACCGTATAGGAATCATTAAATTACATACAATATGACCTATTTCAATTTTCTATGATGACTCAAAAATAGCACTTAAATGAAATTAAATTAGCATATAAATCAAAATGCTACATTCATAATTAATGACACTCTGGAATTTTTCATACTAAACACAGGAACTAATGATCTACTGCCAGGGCATGAGAAAGAGAAAATAAAAGCTAATGTAAATACTTAATTCCTGAGTCACAATAAATTTATCATAACAGGATAAAACACAGATCAAAAATCAAATACCCTCTATACTTTTCAAAAGTTATTTTCAAAGCTTAGTTTTTAATTATCACCTTTAAAATATCCATAAAAAGTAAATCATTAGAGACAAGAAACATGCTTTTTTTCCTTATTAGAGACAAGAAACAAGCTTTTTTTTCTTACCTATGCGGTCAAATGTCTTATCACATTTGGGGCACTGCAGTATTTTTTTGTTACTGTTCTGAATGATTACAGGGGTTAACCCCTCATGAATGCTTCCGACAGAATCACCGGCCTCTGGCTCCTCTTCTGCATCATTCTGATCTTTTTCACTCTGTTCTTCAATGTCAGAATATTCATCTGACATTTCCTCCTCTAGCTCATCTTCTTCAGCATTATATTCACTTCCGGGATCCTCAGAATCATTTCTATCTGACTTTTCCTTATCAAAACTGTCTTGATTCAAATTGTCTGACCCATCACCACTTTCTTGCTCATCATCACTGGTGTCGTCAAACTTAACAGGGCACTTTCGATTCCGTTTTGATCTTCTTGTGGAAAAACTTCTCTCCAGCATTTTTAACCCATGTTTTTTCCCTAATAAAAGAGACCTATGGGTTTTCGACAAATGATTCTCTAAAGACTTCTTATAACAAAAATGTCTACTACAGAATTTACACTGATGATTACTTGATAGTCTTCCAGTTAATTCACTTAGTGTTTCTTCTGGTGATGACTTTTCAGCTAGCTCAGACTGAAAAGTGGCAACATTTTCGTTATTTAGCAGCTTAACTGCATCTATAATATCCAGAAATTTTGCAGCCTCTAAAACAAGAGGGATTTCATATTTGTACACAAAAAATTCTGATGTGTAAAGAAATTCAAGCAAATGCTGAAAAACGGAGTGCGTTACGTGATCCAGGGTGACAACATCCGTGCTCGGATTTTTGCTCAAACATGCATGGAAATAACTACTGCCAACAGCAACGACAACTTTATGGGCACTAAATTCTTTTCCTTCTACTATGATAAGTAAGTCACAGAAAGACGGTTGCTTCTGCCTGTCATCATTCAAATACTTCAGCAAGTTCTTATTGTACTGCAAAGAACTCAGAAGTTTTCTCTGATCCGGGGAGGGAGGAAGTTCCTGATAACAGCGCAGGCCTTCAGGAGCTGCTCTTTCTGTGGAATGAGTGTAGGTTACTTGGTCACACTCCTCTACAACATTTCCTTCCGGGGAATCTTTATGGTAGCCTAGATGGATCTTCTCGTCAAGATGTGAAGTAACCTTTCTCCTCTTCTTCATTGCAGTACAACGGTTTCAGAACAAGAAACTTCATAAGTGTCTTGAGGGATTTATGAAGGAAAACAAGATTGTCTGGGATCACAGCTTCTGGAGGGGCGTGCCCGAGGGTTGCATGGTCTGTGAAGAAGAGAGTAAGAACCACGTAAAACAACTCCACGGCCCAGCGATCCTAAATCACTCGCGGTACTGTCAACAAATGCTTCCTAAACGAGAAGTAAATAATGACAAAGTCACCGCTTCCACTCATTCGTGGCTGAGATTTTAGGGCGGAGAACGAGGAGGGCCGGGTTAGAAAAAGACAGCCAACAAAAGAATAATTTTGAAGGAGGAAGGGCACACCTTGCAGGCCCTATTCCCGAACAGCGTAGCGGGAAAGGGGGCAGAAGGGGAGTCTCCCCCGAGTCCCCCGGGGGACAGGTTGAGGCGGCCACCTTCGCGATGCAAGGGCGCCGGGGCGCTGACACTCAGGCCGTCGCGGCCGCGGAACCCACGTTCTCCACCCCCCGCCCCCCGCCCACCATTACCACGCTTCCCCCGGGCGGTGAGGCGCACCTCATCCCGGCCGGCGAGCGTCCAAAGGCCGGAGGCGCCCGGCGGGACTGCCCCGGGAGCGGCACGGAGAGGAGGTCGGGGTCACCCGGGGAACGACCGCCAGAGCACAGCCTCCCCGGGCCCCCGCCGGGCCGAGACCGCGCCACCGAGGGCGACCCCCCGCCGCCCGCCCACCCGCTCCCGGCGCGGACGCCCAGCGCGTCCATTTACCCGGGAACGCAGGGCTCCCCGCTGGCTCCCGGCCGCCAAGCTCCACTCCGGGCGCGCTCGCTCCGGCGCCGAGCCACTTCCGGGTTCAGCCCCCGGCCCCGCCCGCCCTTCCCCTGCCGTCGCCCCGCCGCCGCCGCAGCCGAGGCGGCCACCGAACACGTCAGCCGCGCGCAGCCTCGCTGCCGCCCGACACCACCCCCCCACCCAGCGCGCGGGCCTGCGCATGTGTGCGCGCTCACCGTCCCTGCGCACGCTCCGTGATGCCCCCCTCCTGAGCGACCCCAGCGACGACACCCCGAGCCCGTTAGTCCAGGTTTTCGCGGCGGTTCTGTGGCCGCTGTGACCAAGCCAGTCTGGCCCTGGGGGACAGCCTTGCGGGGACCGGCGGAGGAGAAGACGAGGCGGAGTTGCGTAGGACTTGGCGGGGGCACCGCGGCGCGAGCGGACGGCGTCCTCCCGGCCTGGGGCAGTTCGCGGCGGCCCCTCAGCTGCGGGCGACAGCGTCTCCGCCAACGCCGCACCGGGTCTGAAGAACCCAGCTGGACGCAGCTAACGCAGTTGCTCCTAAAATTAGTGTTTGACTTCTTACCGTCCACAGAAAAGTGTACGTATAAGCATACAGTTGGTAGGACAGGAAACAAAGTCGAAACAAGGAGAAAAAAAGGTCCACAGGCTAACTTTTGGGGCCAGTGTCCAGGATTGTGCGATTGTAGCACAGTCCCGGGTGATGCCGGGGTTGGTTCCCCGAAGACTACACGTTTAGTAGAGGGTCCTAGTCGTGTGGTTTTCCAGAACCCGTTCCCGGTTCCCCTGTGGATGGACCTGGTACAGAAAAGTTATTCCTGACACTTGTTAACGGTAAGGCAAACTTTGTTCAGTGGGATTTTGTCCTGGGGTGGGTAGAGACTGGGTTCAATTCCAGACCAGGAAGAGTGGGAATTTGCAGACCAGGAGCTGCCTGGGGGTGGCAGGCATGTCAGTGGATGGAGAACTGCCAAGAGATAACGCGGGGGTGTCGGGGGATTTTGGCTAAACTGACCCAACAGGATTCTGGTTGTAGGCAGGTGGGATTGGTCAGACATCACCTGGTGGGGTGGGGTTGGGGAAGAGGTTAAGGAAGCAGGTATCAGATATAGAGGGTGGGGTATTCCGGCTAAACAGACCTAGCTGGATAATTGAGGAATGCAGAGACAAGTACAGAAGCTCAAAAGTGAGAACCTAACTGAGAAGGGAGTTTAGAGGAGCCTGATTAAAATTTGGTCAAGGAGAATCTTTGTTAGACCTCATCCAATCAGTGGATCGTCTTAGAGCAAAGACTGAGCTTTCCAGCGAAGTTGTTCTCCTCAGGACTTCAACCTGAAAACTCTGCCTGGGTTTTCAGCCTGATGCTGTGAAGTGTTTGGACTGAAGATTGGAACATCAACTCTTACCTGAGTTTCCTACGGAAACTTCTATCCATAGGCCTGTCCTATGGATTTCAGACTTACTAGCCCCAAGAATCAACCATGCAAGTCAATTCCTTAGAATATCTATCTATCCTGTCCTATTTTTCTGGAGAACCGTCACTAGTACACTAGCAATGAACAATAGGAAAATAAAATTGAAAAATAATGCCTTTGTAGTTTCCTCAAGCATGTGGCACCAACATCCAGGTTCCTAAGGTGTCAGAAGTCTTTGTCAAAGGAAGTAGCAGTGGGCTGGATGCCCACAAGGAAAGCGCAGAGCCAGAAAGCCAAGACAGAAGGAGATCTACACTCTTGAGAACCTCTTTCCTATAGCTTCCTTTTGCTGATCTGTCGTAGTCTTAATTCAACATCCTTTAAAAGGCTGTTTCACAAATTTATTTCTGAAGATGAAAATGTGTGTCTTCGTTTACTCACTGAATATCCATTGAATAACTATTCTGTACCCTGCATGTAACATTTTAAATAAACTTAGTCATAAAAGGTGTTATTTGACAGCGTCAGAAATATAAAATACCTGGGAATATGAAATACCTGAGCACTCTCCCTAAAACACAATTCAGAGACATTAAAGAAGACCTAAATAATTGAAATATGTCATCTTCATAGATTAGAAGAGTCCATATTGTAAAGATGTGGATCAAGGGACTTCTTTGTTGGTCCATTGTCTAAGACTGTATGCCCCCAATGCAGGGGGCTGGAGTTTGAACTCTGGTCAGGGAACTAGATCCCACATGCTGCAACTGAGACCCAGTGTAGCTAAATACATGTTTAAGAAAATCAAAAGGCAGATGAGGGGAATATATTTGAAAAACATATGTCCACCAAGTAAAAAGAACTATTACAGCTAATGAGAAGGAAAAAAAATATTTAAAATGAGTAAAATACTTGATCAGACATTTCTTGAAAAGAGATAAATATGTGAAAGGTATTATCTTTAAATTGCATCTTAAAGGAGATTCTAATTAAAGCCACAGTGAGGTCCATCCATAAGAATAACTATACTTGACTGATAATATCAAGTGTTGAAGATGTTTCAGCTGGAAGATAGATATACCAACTGATGATGATACATCAACTGGAAATCTCATTAACTTTAAAAAATAAATATTTATTTGACTGCATCCAGTCTTAGTTGCAGCTCTTGGGATCTTTGTTTCGTCATGCAGGATTTACTCATTTTCGGTGTGTGGACTCCCTAGTTGTGGGAGGGCTCAATAGTTGAGGCTCAATAGTTCCCAGACCAGGGATTGAACCCACATCCCCTGCATGCAAGGTGGATTCATAACCACTGAACCACGAGGGAAGTCCTTTATTCACTTCTTCCTGAAATGTAAAATGGTATAAGCACCTTAGAAAACAGTTGAACAATTTTGGAAAATCACACGTCATATAGACTAGCCATTCCATTTTTATTCAAGAGAAATCGAAGTGCTATATCCACAAAAGTTTTATAGCAGCTTTACTTATGATAGCCCCAAATTGGGATCAACCCAAATGTCCAATAAGAGGCAAGTGGATAAACAAATATGTAGAATACTATTACTGCAATAAGAAGGAACAAAGTAATGCCAAAGGCAACAACCTGGATGAGTCTCAAACTACTCAAATGGTAAAGAATTCACCTGCAATGTCGGAGACTAGGTTCGATCCCTGGGTTGGGAAGATCCCCTGGAGAAGGAAATGTCTACCCAGTCCAGTATTCTTGCTTGGGAAAACTCCATGGACAGAGGATCCTGGCGGGCTATAGTCCATGGGGTTGCAAAGAGTGAGGCATGACTGAGTGACTAACGCTTTCATTACTTAGCAGTAAGAAGGAACAGACTAGTGCCAAAGGCAACAAAACAGATAACTGTGAATAAAAGACAAAATGAGTATATTCTATATGATTTGATTTATCAAAAAACTACAGAAACTACAGATTAAAATGACAGTTTTTGCTTAGTCACAGCAGGTGGCACCAGAATTTGTATAGATTAAAAAAGTGCACAAGAAAAATTTGATTTTAGTGATAATTTCACTAGCGTATACATATAGCTGATCAAATTATACACCTTAAATTTATACAGAGTATTGCATGACAATCTTAATTAAAGTCATTAAAACATGTCACAGACACAGACATGCAAGGAAACAATGGAAAAGTTGAAAGTCCACAAATTAAAATTCACAGGTCAGTTTACTATTTAAAAAGGTAAAGTTTCAAGTCTGTGACAAAAATATAAGGCTGTCCAATAAATTAAAATAGATAAACAGGTAGGCATCAGAAATAAAAGTAAGTTGTATATAACCTCAGCTAATAAAGATAAATTTCAGATGAATAAAAAAGTGTAAATTTAAAAATCTAACCTATAAAAGTACTGTAACAAAATAACAGTAAAATGTGAAGGTCTCTCTCACCATGAGTCAGAATTTAGAAGCAATTAAGGGAAGAAAATTGTTAAATCAACTATATAAACTTAAAAATATTTTACACGGAAGAATTCTAGTATCAGCAATTCCAGTATCCCCTCCCACAAAAAAAGTGACATCGCTCAGTCGTGTCTGACTCTTTGCCATCCCATGGACCGTAGCCCACCAGGCTCCTCCCTCCATGGCATTTTCCAGGCAAGAGTACTGGAGTGGGTTGCTATTTCCTTCTCCAGAGGATCTTCCTGACCTGGGGATTGAACCCAGGTCTACCGCATTACAGGCAGATGCTTTACCATCTGAGCCACCAGGGAAGCCCACAAAAAAAAGGACCCTAATAAACACCCCATGTTTTCAGCTGGAACTCTGAAAGTCCCAACCTGTGAGTACCAGAAATAGACCAGTCTTCATGCACTGAAGCTCTTAACGTTTTTTTTTCCTTATTTGAGAAAGACAATGAGGAACTGCTCCTTCTTTTAGCCTACCTGCCTGCCAGAAGCAAAACCAATCCTGTCTTGATTATGATGACATCATCCTCATTCTACATGACTTGTGGTATCTTAGTTCCCTGACGAGGTATCGATCCTGGGCCCTCAGCAGTGAAAGTGTGGTCATAATCTGTACCGCCAAGGAATTCCTAACTTGTTAAGTTTTAATATATAATATCCAGCCTCAAACACACACCTATACATACAAAGGCTATTTCCAAAAAAGTAAGAGACAAAACAGATAAAACAGATCCACAGAAGATGAAGAAAATGAATTTATTAGGCCAATACAGCAACAACAAATAAACTATGAGTGACACGTTCAAGGAATTGACAGAGAATATTGAAATTTTAAACAAAAAAATGGAAATCAAATACAAATTCTAGAACAGGAAAATATAATAGGTAAATCTAAGAAGAGTGGGTATGTTTAACCTACGATTAGAAAGAACTGAAGAGAAACTATTGAAGTAAAAGATAAATCAGAAGAAATATCCAGAATAAAACACAAAGAAACCAAGAATAGGTAATACAGAAAAGAGGAAAAGAAATCTTTAGAACACATAAAACACCAAACATTCTTAATAGAACCACAGCAGCAGGAGAGGAAAATGAGAATGAGGAAGATGTAGCATTTTAAAAAGAATAGCTGAGAATTTCCCATTGATGAAAAATATCAAGCCAGAGATTCAAGAAAAAGTAGGAATTCCAAGCAAAATAAGTTCATAGAAAAGTAAAATTGGGCATGTCATAGTAAAACTGCTGAAAATTGGAAGTAAGGAAAAAAATTTTAAAGCATCCATAGGAGAAGAAAGGGACTTCACAGGTGGCGCTAGTGGTGCTAGAACCCCCTGCCAGTGCAGGAGACAAAAAAGATGCAGGTTCGATCCGTGGATTGGGA